GTTGACCAAAATTACCATTTGGCAGTATTGAAGCTCTTGGTGAGCATTTCTTTTGAACTTCTTAAAGACTTTCTCTCCAATACGACTTCCTCAAAGAAATTAGGAAGATGTTTGGACGTTGGAATTGTAGTAACCGCAAAGAAGCTACACAAACATACACGACTCTTGGAAAAATTATGTATGAATACATATAGTTGAAGTATTTTTATACAGATAAATATATATGAACTATACAATTGAGTATAACTGAGTATAGATGAGTACTAAAAAATACAACTGGATACAGCTGATGTATTATTATGAAATAATACAGTTGAGTAGCACTGTTAGTAGATGAATACACCAAAATACAACTGAATATAGCTGAATAATACACTTAAATACAACTAACTACTGCTGAATAATACACTTAAATACAACTGAGTACATATGAACATAACTGACAACGTACAGCCTGTTTAATACACATGAAATTGTGTTCTTTAATATGTATTATCTGAACTTGGAAGATACATCTAAATGAATGCTGCTGAATACAACTGAATACAACTTAATACAGCTGAATAATACACTTAAATACAACTAACTACTGCTGAATAATACACTTAAATACAACTGAGTACATCTGAATATAACTGACTACGTACAACCTGTTTAATACATATGAAATTGTGTTCTTTAATATGTATTATCTGAACTTGAAAGATACATCTGAATGAATGCTGCCTGAATCAACTGAACTTCGACAGTTAATACAATTAGAATACAACTGAAACCAGAAAAAAATACAGCTGAGTTCTTTTATATAACCTACCATCAGCATACAACTGAGTATAGATGAGTACTAAAAAATACAACTGGATACAGCTGATGTATTATTATGAAATAATACAGTTGAGTAGCACTGTTAGTAAATGAATACACCAAAATACAACTGAATATAGCTGATATTTTTTTTGGCAGCAACTTCCTTTACATTGACACATGAAGAATCATTCATAGGTTTTTTTCCTCTTTGAAGCAACTGGATTTTTGTTTCTTTTGAAGATTTCTCAACTTGGACTTCTTTCGACTTGTCATTGTATAATTTAGTTCTTCTCTCTGAATCTGTAGTTGCTGATAAACCTGCAAAATCCGACTCCGCTTGAGTTATTTGCAACGAGAAAGAGGGTCCATCAAAATTGAGAATTTTGGTGGGTATACCTCTGGTTATCATCTTGTGTGGCGTTGAATCCGCCATTGGAGAGAAAAACCAAAGCTTCCTGGTGAGTAAACAATACCAATGGTTATTGTTTCAGAAATTTATGAAAAATCGGTATAAAGCGAGAAGATAGACATTGATGATATGCTATTCTTCAGTTATATCAAAATCGAAGATGAATACTTACCAGGCGTATAAAAATCGCTAGTAAAACAGTGATTCCGTGAAGATTTTGAATGTGGGATTGATAATGGCGGATAAATAGAGAATTTGGGTGGGAGAAGAGTTAAGAAACGTGGGTTTGTGAGAGAAGAGAGTAAAGTGTATGCAAAAAGAGAGAGAGTGAACGTGGTTAGAGCAGATATGCAGTAATTATGTGAGAGAAAATACTAAAAAAGAGAGAGAAAAATATTATTTAGCATATATGGTGCCTTAAATGTAGGATGTAACTATATTTAGATATTTTGCTATAAAGGATAAAAGGTATTTATAGGATGTAATATTTTAAAATGGTATTTATTTAAAATAAATAGGGTACTAAGGTTTTCTATAGAGTGTAAAATTTCCTTTTTTCAACTTACACTTTTTATGGTAAAAGGCTTTTTTTATGCAAGATGAGCATGGTTCTAAAACATGGGTCAAGTTGGGCGGGTTGGGTTATGACCCATTGTTTAGCCCATCTTGACCCAGTCCATCTTAGCCCAAGTACACTTTGGGCTGGGTTGGGCAATGACCCATTTATTGACCTAACCCATCTTGATCCGCCCAAATTCAGCCCAACCCGCCCATTTGCCACCCCTACACAGGACCTTTTAGCAGTGATCGAAAATTAGTATAGGAAACCAACAATAAAATGGAGATGAATGAACAATATTGAAGAAGGAAACTTTCTTCAAACGTTAAAAACAATGGCCTTTCAAGAAGGTAACAGTTCAAAAAGGCAAAGTTCATTTTTTTTTTTCTAAAGGCGTGTTGGTTCTTATGATAGGAGAAAGGAAAAATAGGATATTTATTTATTTATTTATTTATTTATTTATTAGCAGAATGTTTTAGTCATTTAGAAGGGTATTTTAGTAATTCAATTTTTGACTTTTGAGGTTCATGTTTTAATAATAATATAGATAAAAGGCAAAAAGAAATGTTTGCGAGCTCTATCAGTCACTTTTTTAAGTGCAGTAAGTTGGAGAAATTTTTCTGTGACAACTTAATCAGATATTTAGAAATTACGTGTCTAATTTTGAAAAACAGTTGGCCAACTTTTAATTACAAGGACACAAAAGTGGCCTCCTTAGGTAAATAACACGATTATTTTTTAGAAAGAAGCGTATTAGTTAATCCATCAAATTAATATACTACCAAGCACATTATACAAACTCCTTTAATTGTTCTCGAACAGTAGAATTATAATCATTTATAATGGCCAATGTGTACTAATTTAACCATCCGTAAGCTTTAGTAGTTCTACACAACTATGCTTCAACTATTCGTGGAGAAACAAATCAAGCATTTTGTGTTGGAAAAATTGATAAAATTTATAATTTCTCATTTGAACACCTCAACTCATACAATTGTGAATTAATAAACCCTTCTAACTATTAGCTATGCTTATGCGGCAGTGACACATGTAATATGGATGTGTGTGCAAGTCACCTAATTAACGCGCGTGAATACAATAATTTGATTAAAATTTTCTAAAATTGGAAAAAAGTAAATAGATAAAAAGAAAGAAAGAAAGGACCCTTCGCCCCCCTCCCCTGGCGTACCTTTATTCCCTTCCCTTTCTTTATCTGTTTCCCCCC